CTATCATGCTTGTGTCATGCCATCATGTCGTTTCCTAATCAGCTTGTGTCATGCCATCATGTTCGTCCTATCCTAGCATGCTTGTGTCATGCCATCATGTCGTTCCTATCATGCTTTGTGTCTATGCCATCAATGTCGTTTCCTATCATGCTTGTGTTCTGCCATCATGTCGTTCCTATCATGTGCTTTATGCTCGTGTCATACCATCATGTCGTTCCTATCATGCTTGTGTCATGCCATCATGTCGTTCCTATCATGCTTGTGTCATGCCATCATGTCGTTCCTATCATGCTTGTGTCATGCCATCATGTCGTTCCTATCATCATTAGTCATCTTCTATCAGGGTATTAGCCAGTAATGAGTATTGTGGGAGTGCAGAAAAAAAATTTGGGAGTGCAATTTTTTTGTACGTGTGTCTATATATCAATATTTTAGGCCGTGCTACACATTTTTGGCAGTGCAGTTTCAAAACTGACTGTGCTGATCATGGCTGCATGGCTCGCTGGCTAATACGTTGCCTTCTATATGTCGATGCTGAAGTATATTATATATATATATATGCATGCATAAATAAATCTGTAACACAGGTGAACCTCACCAGGTGAAGTGCTTGTGAAGATGTTGCTATGTATTTTATGTATATAGATTGGTTATTAATGCAGTGAAGGGAGTAACATCCTCACATGCCTCCCCCCCCCTACAGTTGTCACTGTGTCACCGTGTCACCGTGTCACCGTCTCTCTCTCTCTCTGCGTCTCTCTGCAGGCCAGGCTCTGTGAGGAAGCTGAGTAGTTCATCAGGCAGCGGGGTGATGACTCGCGTCGCCAGCCTCAGCGACGAGTTTTCAGGCTTCGAAGCGTCGGTGGCGCCACCTAGCTGCCAGCGCATTGGTGTCATGGCCGCCTTCGACAGCTTCCAGCACTTTGTCGAGTAAGATGCGCGCCGGGTTGCCGTGGCAACGCACGGGCACGTGCGACTGATACAGAGTCGGTCCAGATTTCAGTGACAGGCGAAACATCCTTTAGAGCAAAATTCGCCTCGTGGGGGGGGGAACCATTCCTGTTAAATCGTTTCCGATTAAAATCGCTTTAACAATAATCTGATTCATGCCATCCAACACTTGATTTTTAGCTTCACCAGCTTAAGCTAGGTTCACACTGGAGATTTTTTTGTCTTTGAACATCTTTGAAGTAAAATCTTTCAACATCTTCTGTAAAGATTTGTCAATTTCTTATCAAGAAATCTTTCAGTAACATCTGTTCACACACTATATAGGCTTTTGTCTTTGACAGTTGATGAAAGTTGGCTGTCAAATATTTCTAGTTTTCTATATGTTATTACGTAAGTTTGGCCAAACTCACCGGTCCACTCCAATGCATCAGCGATGCTATTTATTGCAGCAGCTTTTCCGACGCGATTACGACTTTCGAGTTTACACGCCACAAACAATCTTTCCTCTCAAACAACTCAATCAATTCTTCCACGTTATCGGCGGGCGCCATTTTCTGTATCATGTGCTGCCGCGACAGAGATGACGCGAAACTATTTTTACACGTAGGAATTGGCCAATCAGCGCGCAGCGCTTCTACGATTTCATGACAGTGTCGGGCAAAATCGAGCAAAATAGAATACGTTCTATTTTGCCCGACACATCAATTTCTCGATTTTTCAACTTCTCAACATCAACTTTTCTGTTTACACTAGCGATTTTGAGTTGGGAAATTGAAAAATCACTGAAAATAGCACCAATTTCTCGATTCTACGACAAAAAATCACCAGTGGGAACCTAGCATTAATCATGTCGCTAGCGATTCCCTCGCGACTGAATTCGGCTTATATTTCGGCTTTCTCTCGTCTGCTAACTGCGTGACTCTGCCTTAGAATGCCTCCCCTCTTTGATTGATGAAGAATCCGACTCCTCCGTGGACATGCATGTTAGGAGGAGGTTCCCCGGATTCCATTCTGGAATCTGTGGATCGGACGGAACATTCTAACGTGGTGTGTTTGCTCGCGCAGGTTTTTCGATGATCTGTTGAAGCTGATACAGGCGGTGAGAACTGACAGCCCACCGATGCCCTTCTCCGATAAAGGCAGTGCAAAGAGCCTCGAGGTATGTGCCAACATGCTGTAGATTCCTTATAAATGTCACCTCTAATAAATCTCACCTCTGTTATAGACTCCCCCCCCCTCCTCTGTCCAGTGATGCCTCCTGTTATTCTCAAAACTGAGTAACTCACTCTGTCTAAAATTGTTGTTATAACCATAAGTATGATATCAAGCGATCCAGCAAGCCTAGTGGTTAGGCAGGTATATTTACATAGGGGGTGCTTATGGGGCAAGTGCTGTGCTCTGGCATATGTCAGGTTTCACAGGTGCTGGACTGAAGAGTTTTAATTCTATGTAGTAACATCAATGGTCTTTCTCTCATCTCTCTTCTCTCTTCTCTCTCTCTCTCTCTCTCTCTTCTCCCTCTCTCTCCTCTCTTTTCTCTCTCTCTCTCTCTCTCTCTTCTCTCCCTCCCTCCCCTCCCTCCCTCCGTCCTCCCTCTCCCTCTCCCTCCCCCCCCTCCCTCCCTCCTTCCTCCCTGCCTCTCTCCACCCTTCTCTCTCTGCTCTCTCTCTCCTCTCTGTCCCTCCCTCTTTCTCTCTCTGTCTCTCCTCCCTCTGTCTCTCTCTCTCTCTCTCTCTCTCTCTCTCTCTCTCTCTCTC